TTGACAACACGATTGAATTTTGACGAATCAATGTTCTTATTTTATTTAACAATCTCTCTCGAGTAATATTTAACCTACTCTCATATATGACTCGACTATATTTATATGACAGATGTGATACAAGAGTGTATGAATTTTTATGAACACTTAAAGATTCATATAGAGTATAGCGGTATATTTCTATTCCCTATCTGACCCTATGTTGATTTGCACTATGTTGAACTTTTTTCTTTTTTTTGAATGCATAAAATAAGCCACCAAATTCACACAACTACCGTACACAATAATTGTGGAGAAAAAAAATCATATAAATCATTCAATATCCAAAAATGTATTTTCAATATCAAGTATGTAAAACTAAAGATTAAAAATTCATATTAGATGGCTCATCATTCTCCTAACACAAAGAAAACTAGCCTAGCATGTTATGAAAAAGAAATGAAAAGAAATATTGAAGAATCAATATTACCCAAATAAATCTTAAAATGAATCTTCGAGTCTTGGAATCGATCTTTGTGTTTCTTGCCTCCTTCAATACTCCCAAAATCTCTTAGAATGTGTTGCAAGGCATGATAACTACTTCTGGATGGCCCCTAGGTCTTTAAAAGACATCAAAATATTTGTTTTCATAAGAGTTGGAATCATACGAGGAAACCAGAATTATGCCTCCGAAAATACACTATGCTATTGCATAGTACATTTTAATGCTATAACATAGTTCAACCATTTTTAGCATTGGAAGGCCCTGCATCACTCCATGAGACCGCTTGGCTAAAAGAACTATGCTATAGCATAGTTCAAGCAGACTTCCATTCTTTGCGTTTTGGTCCCTGAACTCTATTTTCTCGTTTTGTGATCTCTTTTCTCGCTTCTTCTTCTTCCAATACTTCATTCCTTTGCTCAATTGGTTTTTGAATCTTTCACATCTTCATTTCTTCTTTTGGGTAATCTTTCGATTATTTGTACTTTGGTCCCTGAAGTTTGGTTTTCTTCCATTTAGTTATTTTCTCACTTGTTTCTCCTAAATTTCCCCATGTTCCTCAATAAACATAATTTATATAGAATTAAGCCATATTTTGATATATTTACCAACAATTGTTCATATTTTGTACTTTAAATAAGTGTACAAAACGCATTGATGAAGAATGGTCAAATTTTTAGCCGTTAGGTTTTTCGACTAACCTTTTTTTTATTTTTTATTTTTAGCAAAGTGTTTTTAAACAGTTTTTCAAAGTCAATGGTGTTCTAAAAATATGATATAAGTTCAAATATCTTTTTGAAAATCAATCTTACATTTGATTAAAATATTTTATGAGTGATGATCAAAATAACTTTTAGTGCACAAAATGATTTTTTAGCATTTATCATTCATTGCTAAAAATTAAAGTTTTAGTACATTTACATTTGGTCAAAAAAGCCTAGTCTTTGACGTTTCTTTTAAGTTTGGTTCTTAGGATCTCGTCTTGATCTTTATTTGAAGTTTGAGTCTTAAACTCTCATTTTGAAGTATTTGTCTTGAATACTCAACTTCAATCTTGACTTTTTTCGTGAGTTCGATTTGTGGTTATAGTCTTGACTATGATGTTTTGACGATGATCGATTGAATGCTTTGAAAACAATGATCACTTAATTTCAATTTGTTAGTAAACAACATTAACTTGTTTGTTATAAGGAAAACTTTTAAAGTTAAAATAAACCATAGGTCAACAATTTTCTGCTTTTTGATGACAAACACAATGATTTGTAAAGTAATATCATTAAGGGATAAAGAATAATGATCTCAAATTTAACATATATTCCTCGTTTACAAACAATTTGTCATCCATTTAAAGCATATCAAATAATAGATAATTCAAAGTATATCATTTGATCATTCAAAGCATATCAATTCTATCTCGCTCATTTTTTTCTTTTGGCATAAGCAAGAAAATAACATATATGAGAGTAAAAGTGCGGCATATATGCTCAAAATTTGTGAAGGAATAATATTCCCCCTCAATTATGCACAAAGTGCCAAATATATGGAAGTTTAAACAAGAGGATAATCATCACTTTTATAGCAAAATACTAATCAAAGTATGAGTGATAAAATATCAAAACTATAATCAATTGGGTACAGCTTATAACAGTTTTTAACATGTAAATTTCAAACAATGATGCACATAAAATAAATCATATAAAAACACTTAGCCCCTATCAGGGACCAATTAAATTCGAATTAAAAGCAAAAAAAAAAAAAAAAAAGACTGTTGGGAACAAGGAATATCATTAGTGTATACCATAATATCTGACTCCTTTAGGACAATTTACTATATCCATTAATTATTGTTGGGGACAATTGCCAATTTTGCACTCAATTGAAAAATAAAGGATTCACACATAGTTGCATAAATGGGTAGTATGAACTTTTGAATATGTGAAAGTTGATAATTGTGGAAAAACACACTTATTTGGCACTTTTTTGTATTTAATTGGAAATGAAATTGAGTTTATTTCTAAGCATAATTGTGTAATTTTCACGTTTGCAGGCTAAAACCCCGATAAGAAGAAGAACGGAGCGAAAAAGGATGAAAATGGACTAAAAGTGAACAAAATGGTAAAGTTGGGGACTGAAATGCAAAAGCCTGAAAGTTGAAGGACTTGACGTGCGATGTATAAAGGGCCTAACTGAAATGAAGGTCAAAAATTCAAGGACCTAATTGTACAAGATCAAAGTTGAGGGACTATTTTGTAACTTAACAAAAGTTTAGGGATCTTTGTTGCAATTTTTCCCTAGATCTTTTGGTTAACTTAATAGCTAAGCAAAACAAAAATATCTATCCTATATTTGAAAGTGCTGGGACATTTTTTTTGGTAGAATAGTGTAGGATATTTTTAGTTTTAGTTTTTTTTAAGTTTTAGTTTAGTTTTTAGTTTAGGTTTTTATTAGAATTCTCTCTAGGTTTTCTTCTTCCTTTTCCTTTTCCTTTTATTTTCTTTTTCTTTTCTTTTCTTGGTGTTCTTGGCTCATATTTTGGAGAAGAGAAGTTGATAGCAAGGGGATCAAACATCAAGAAAAGTTTGGAAATCCATTTGAGGGATTCAAACTTGATCTTCAAGGGGTTTATCTTAACTTTTGAATTCCTTTATTAATTTTCAAGTTTGTAATGTATTGTATCATGAATCTCTTTGTTATTATCTTTATAAAATGAGCTAAGATTATTGTGTTGGAATTTATGGTTGGAACTTAACCTAGTTGATTCATTGATTATCGATATATCTA